TCGTCAACTTTGCAGGCATGTGGGTGGTTCTAAGGTGACCAGCACCAGCTTCACCTGTGGAACACCCAGCCTTGCCATAGAAGCCAAGGATGAAGACAGTTTGGAAATAGTTTTTCCCCTTACTCTCGACATCCCTGTGCATCTCACTACAGCCATGTCAGACCCAACACTCACAGCCGTGTGTAAAGGTGACTCCTGACAATAAATATTATTCTCTGTCATCCTTGGTGGTTCTTCCTCCCTACCCAACCTCACTCACATGGGATACTTTAAGATCAATTCTGGTTTCCAATGCTGCCAAGGGAGCAAGGCCTGGTCTTGTTTCGCATCCTCTACATTTGTACTTTGGTGTTTAAATTTGACTCTCATGGTTTAGAGAAAATCTCAGTAGTTCTCAGAACTCTCTCTTCATTTTTGTCCTATGTCCTTTTGAAATCAGCATTCTTCATGAATCCCCAGGAACATTTTCTCCTATCCAATCAATCAGATTTCTCATTCCATCTGACATGCACCCTGTGTTTGAGGCAGCAGGAGGTCAATGGTGCTGCTTGGCTGATCCTTCTAAATGTCAAGGTCATGCGAAGCATGGTACACCAAATTAGAGTGTTGAGATGTGAGGGAGAGGGGTCTGAGGAGTCATTGGGTGAGGTGCTAGTAAGCCTATCATGCTGAATCTAAAACAGTGAGCTCACTGTTGATTACAGCCCTGTAAGAAAACGCTAACCAGGTAACATGTGACGGCAATATTCTGTAGTAATTTTTAAATGCTTATGTAAAAATAAATTTTGAATTATATAGTACTAGGCTAATATTCCATTTTAAGAAAAATGTCTGTGTCTTAAAGCTGAAAGTAGAGGTTTTGTGTTTCACCCTGTCAATCCTAAAAATCTGACAACTTACTGTTCTCTAAACTTACACACCATTTGGGACAATATCTTCCACATTTTACACACCATTTGGGAAAACCAGAGGATCAGATCCTTCAGCTGGAGACTGTACATCCATTAAAAAAAAAAAAAAGATTTACTCTTATGTGTTCTTCTGTTTGTCTATGAGTGTATGGCATACAGTGCGAGAGCCTGCAGACTCCAGAAGAGTTCGTTGGGTCTAACGTGGGTGCTGGGGACCAGACTGCTGTCCTCTAGAAGAGCAGAAGTGCTCTTCACTGCTGCTTCATCTCTCCAGTCTCAAAGACATCCAAGTTAAATTCACTGTCAACCATTCATTTATTAAAATCTCTCTCATTCGAAAAGAATTGAAGTAAAAGGAGCCAAGAATACTCAGAAATTTATACATTATCTCACCGGAGTTTTGCTCTGCACAGGGGCTTTAGTATTTTTTTTTTACTTTTGATTTTGCTATTTATGAACACTTGTCACACACTGTAGTATAAACACTTAAGAATGAACAAACCAGGTACAAAGTACAAGACTCTAAAACTCATGTCTGTTGATAAGAAAAAATTAGAGCAGCTGTCAGTCACCTCACATTTCAGAGTTTGCTTTTTTCTCACTAACTACACAGTTAAAATCTTGACTAGATCACAGATAGTCTGGTTTGAGTGGTGACTTAACATCCATTCACATTAGACACTTGTTTTCACATAAATCATATACACACACACACACACACACACACACCCTCCCACCCCCCCACACACAAAATGCATCCATGCAACATCAATTCACGAAAAAGAGGCCATGAATTTAAAGAGAGAAAGCAGGGTTATAAGAGAAGATTTTAGAGGGGAAAGGGAAGTGAGAAATGTTGTAATCAAATTACAATTTTCAAGAAAATAAAATTTAAGGGACTTTCGAACATCTCTAGCAGCTGACCTATCTTCTCTCCCTACATAAAATGTGTATGCAAATCTAAGTCCATAAGAGGGTTAATTACCAACATGCCCACAAGATCAGAATTTATCATGGCCAGCAGCACCAGCTTTGCTGGCCTGATGTTTCCAGGTATCACTCAATTCCAGATGAGTCAGCCCTTGAGATGATAAAGCTATTCCCAGAGCAATCTTAGAGATGATGACATTTCTACTGTCTGAGAGCCCCAGTACTAACTAACTAACCATCCTAAATCTACTTGGCTAAGCTGAAGTAACCATGGATATACAGGAAGAACAAAATATCCTATTACATCAACCTTTTCAGTTTGGGGCCATGGCCCATCACTTTTTCTCTGGTGTGACTTCCACTTGTTCTCACCAATAGTTGGATTTTGAATTAGCTCATAGCAACGTATTTCTTCTGGGTTCTTGGTCAAAACCTTAACATCACTTCTCATGGGAAGCTCTGCTTTTTCTCCTTGAGATGTGGCTCCTTGTATACTATGTTGAGGGCTTTTAAAACTAGGATGAAAGAAAAGGAACAAAAAGGAAAAAGAAAACCAGAAAGCACATGAAGCATTGCCTCAGAAACTACAATCAGGGTTGCCAGTAGGTTATACTTTGTGGGATTTAGGAAAAGAGCTCCAAATATAGTCTCAGCTCATCTAACTTCAGAAGTATAAAATATTGATTGATTAATAATAATTATTAAATCATTAATAATGGTAAATATTGTTATTATCAGGGAAATTCTCTTCGGCAGGTTTTACCCTGGTGTAGGAGAATTGTCTGTATTCTGTGAATCATGTTTTAAATAAATGCTGATTGGCCAGGCAGGAAGTATAGGTGAGTCAACCAGACAGGAAGTAGAGGCGAGGCAATGAGAACAGGAGTGTTCTGGGAAGCAGGAAGCTCCCTCCACATCCAGCCCAGATCACCAAAGAAGCAACAAGTGACCTACCCCGCTATGAAAGGTACCAAGCCATATGGCTAACATAGATAAGAATAATGGGTTAATATAAGTTACAAGAGCTAATAATAAGTAGCCTGAGCTAATGGACCAATCAGTTTATAACCTTATGGAGATCTCTGATTTTCTTTGGGGCTTGTCGGCTTTGGGGAATTGGGTAGCACATAAACCCCAACAAGCAGGCCCTCATGTTACATTACCCTTTATCTTCAGACTGCTCCCCAGAACCAGAACCCATTCTACTAACTGACAGAGAGTCTTACTGCATTGGATTCCATCAATGCATCTGTTGCCTTTGCCCTCAGCCTGGAGTTCCATAGGGCATTTCTTCTTCCAAATCTTTCCCTTTAAGGTCACCTCGTTCTGGTTTACTCCTCACACTGAAGGCCATTGACCTGACAGGCAATGATTTTTATATGACCCCCTCCAACTATATTTTGGGAAATGATTGTGATGTCCTGTGACTTTAAATTTTAGTTTGCCCCTGGTTCATATTCTCTGGCCTGTTGAAGAGATGAATGTTCTACCTTCTGGTCTCATACTGTAGTTGAATGATGCATGTGTTTCCTGTTGGCCCCTGCCACATAGACTTCTAATTACCTAACCTTCTTAAACTAAATATGATACCACATATTATTGAATTTGGCAAGGGGTTTCATTTGAAGACAAGTTAGACTACAAGGAGGCATCTGTCTCTTACTGCTTCTCCCAGGAACAAGCAAGGGGGCTAGGCTCCCTATTGTGCAAACCACAGGGTAAGAACTAGTGAAATACCTTCTCCAGAAGCCACTCTAGCCATAATCCCATTCTTCGGGGGTTAGGGTAGGCAATTGTTGGTGACAGGTGATGATCAACAAAGAAACCCATGGAAGGGGCATGGAATGTAGGTTAAACCAGGACACCTCAGGCCTTCTCAAGGAAATGATGGAATGAGGACAAGCTCCTGAGGGCAGAGCTACAGACACCAGGCAACCTGTATTTACTGTGAGCTGTGCACAGATCTTCATGTGCCTTCTCAGCACTTGAGCCACCTGGCACTTAGATTCCTGTGTTCTTAGCGAATTAGATCTCAGTTTTGTAGGAGTCACTTTCAGTTCCAGTTCTGTTCCTAAAGTCAAAAGTCTTTCAAGTTGACTCACGACTATAGCATTTCAAGGTATCCCTTTATTTGTTAGTAAAATTTCATAACAAGCAATTTAATTTGTTTTAATTATGGGTGGTTGGAATAAAATGACCCACAAAGATACCACAGCTTTCAGCAGCACCAAACAGACTAAGCTGGAGAAGGGCCAGCAGGTGGAGGTAGAGGGGAGTCTGTGTACATCCAGAAGTAACTGTCTCGAGGAGTCTCATTGCTTTCCAGCTGTTTGTTAGCAAAGAGGGATTGGATATTATGATCACTAATAATTTTTTGTGGTAAAAGCATATGTTTTTTTTAAACACACACCACTTACTGTTGTTCTTTGGCTATAGCATGAAAGCTATAAATAGGAGCTTGTGCTTCAAAGACTTGCACATGGCTTAGAGTGTCTGATCTCTCATTCCTGAGCAGGTTTTGCAAGTCAGTTAGCTGGAAATGTAGGTCTGAAAAGACTTGATAAAGTTTACAGATGACTTTTCTGGATATAAAGCTTATCTGTGTACCCAGAAGTCTCATGTGTGTTGTCACATGCCATCTTTAATACAGAGGACATGGTGTACCTTGGGATAAAGCCCATACTCTGTATTAATCACATGAACCTTGTTGTATCTTCTCAGTTTAAAGGGAAAGTTTATCCTTAAAAGCAGAAAGGCCAAATCAGTAAAATCACCCTAGCTAGGAAAAAAGCAACAACAAAAACTCCCCCACAAAACAGGAAGTGGTATATTGTCTTGGTTCTGTGAAAAACAGAATCTGTGAATTGGAAGAAAGCATAAGAAAGAGAAGGTGTGGGTTGGGAACTGGGGTATTACATTTTTAGACTTAGTTATTTTTGTTTTCCAAATGGATGGCAGAATTCAACAACAAAAAAAAATAAATCAAAATAAAATAAAACTCCCACTTTCCATAATGGAGAGGCCCTTATGAAGTCTTTGTTTTGGACATAAATGTCTTCCTGTCTCAGTGACTCTGCTTTGGGAAACCTATAGACTATAAATAACCAACTGAATTCTGGGTTAAGGTGAAGGTCAGGAGGGAAAAGATATGCAAAGAGCTTACTGCAGATTTTAAAGTTTCTATTGTTTTCTGTTACAGTCAAAGAATTAGACCTTTTACAAAGCAATAATTAAGGCTGCAAACTAGCCTTGGTCCAGCATCCTAGTTGGAACTTGAAGGACCTCCAAAGTCCACACTAGCTTGGAGAAATAGTGTCCTCGGAGAACAATAAGATGATTCCAGTGATGAGAAAAACAGCAGGTGACCCGAAGGCTTGGAAGAGTGCAAGCATCTTACATCTTGGTCTGGAAGAGAATTGTTGGATTTAGGATTTCTAAAGGTAGAAATTTGGAGATCCTGAGTTACGAAAGACCAGCTTAACACCTTTTGTGATCTATGTTCTGCCAATTAGTAAGAAGTACAAAGCACAGAGCTAATTCAGGATAAAAACCCATTTCTGGGATGGTCTTTAGATTGAGTGTCTCCATCTGCGTAAAGATATCAGCTTTTTGAACATAATCTTATTACTTATAAAGCAGTATTTCATATAATAATATTATAACAGTTTTTCATATGCAGTCAGGTGGCAGTGGTGCACGTGTTTAATCCCAGGACTCTGGAGGCAGAGGCAGGCAGATCTCTGAGTTCGAGGTCAGTCCAGTCTACTGAGGTAATTCCAGGACAGCTAGGACTGTTGCACAGAGAAACCCTGTCTTTAAAATAAATACAAACAAAAATAAAACTACTACTACTACTACTAATATCTCATATGCAATGAAAGATTAGTCTATTTACCTTTCGCGATCATTCTGGAATTCTATACTCTTGTAAAGGAGTATTTAAAATGCTATGCTGGCTTTCTAAAGCTTGCATACCTTTTTCCCTAGGGAAACAAAAGCCTTGCCAGATTACTGCTGCTTCTCAGTTTTTCTTCATACTAAGAAATATCCCCAAGAAGGGGAAGTATTACTTAGTCCACCTAGTGTGCCACCACTTTGGTTGAGCAGATCTCTAGACTCTAGGCTACTCACCCCGGTCTCTGAACTGCTGGATGTGTTAAACTAGGCTACTCACCCCAGTCTCTGAACCACTGAATGTGTTAAACCCAAAGATTTTGAGAGGAAGAGCATGGCTAGATTAATTGGAGCACGTTTTTTTTGTTGTTGTTGTTGTTGTTGTTTTTTGTTTGTTTGTTTTTTTTTGGTGTGTGTGTGTATGGTCTGCCTCCCCTTAATGTGGGGCTGAGGAGTTCAACATTGGATATGGGGAAGACTAGCTTTTTATAGCTCAAGGGTAAGGGGTTTTCCAAATGGGGGATTTGGCAGGCAAATTAGTAGGTTACAGAGGCAGAACATAAGCAAAACAAGTTTGTCATAACTACCTTCTAAAACAAAGACATGTTTGCAAGGCAGTCATTAGGAAATCTTAACAATAGGTGGTCATAACAAGAGGTAGTCATAACAACCATTTGAAACAAAGGCATCATTCCCTGGAACAGGCAGTATGGGATCTTTTGTAGTTAAGGTTAAATGTGGGGCATAGCCATATTCTTGAGAAATAGATTTAATCATAAACAGGAATGAAGCTCGTTTTTCTTTACTATAAGATGGTTTTCAAGCCTAAGAGAATAGCAGGCTGTTTCTTCAGGTGTACGTGCTACAGGCTTCTTCCTGGAGAGTGTGGGATGACCCTCCTAAGCTGTACTGGCAGGGGTTCATTTGATAATGAGAGGCTGTGGAAAAACCCTTCTATTTGCTCGATGAGAACTGAGGCTTAGGTCTCAAGCCAGGAGAGGGGATGACCTTTACCAAAGTTGCCTCATGATACTTCCTGTATTATAAATGCTTATTGGTTTTTTAAAAAAATTATATTTCTTTTTTTTACATGTATGCATGTACATACCACAGCACATGTGTGGACATGAAAGGACAATTTGTAAAAATTGGTCTTTCCTTTGACCATGTAGAGCCTGGAAATTGAATTCAGGTACTCAGGTTTGGTAGTAATTGCCTTTACTTATTGTGCTAGCTCACAAGTGTGAGCCTTGTAACTCCGTGGGCCGCTCTGTGTGTGTGTGTGTGTGTGTGTGTGTGTGTGTGTGTGCATGTGCGTGTGCTTGTGTGTGTGTGTGTGTGTGTGTGTGTGTGTGTGTGAGTTTGAGACAGGGTCTCACTATGAAGCTTTGCCTGGTCTGGAACTCAGCATTTAGGCCAGGCTGGCCTCAAACTCATAGATTCACCAGTAACTGTCTCTTGGAGTGCTGGGATTAAAGGAATGGACATTGTGCTGGGCTCAGCGGTCCTTAGCTGACCTCAGACAGTGGTGTTCCTCAAGAATTTCCTTCTTGTTATTCTGCCTATTCCCCGGTGATCTCTTTCTTGTATGGACTCAACTACTCGTTTATGTACTTAGACAAATTCTCTTCTTGCACATGAATTGCATCATTTGTGTGTAGACAGTCCTGTTGGACTTGGTCTTTCAGAGTATGGACTCTGTAGGGTATCCTCAGTTTGTTCTTCTTATGTCTCAAGAAATTCCTTTCCCCAAAATCTGGCATGTAGGCAAAAGTTGTCATTCCCTTGCTAAAAAGAGTCATTTTCCTTATCTCTGGCATAAAGGAACATGTGACACATGTATTAACCTCTGCCTGAGGTGCCTATTTAACATATGAAAGCAGACATATTCTGCTCCAAAACCTGTTCATAGAGTCCTGATTCCTCAGTCCCCTACTCAGAAACCGCAGCCCCTGAGCTTCCTGTGCTCTTTCCCACCATCTTTGACCCTTACAAAGTCTCACCCTTTCTGGCTGTGTTTCCTCTCGCTCTCCTGGTTCTCTTTACTGCTGGCTGGCTCTGCTCCTGGATCTCTCCTGGTTTCCTCTCTGGCCCTCACTTTTCTTCTCTTCTCTCATCTCTCCTCTCCTGCTCTCCACCCCCTCCTCAAATAGCCTGGTTAGTCTGCTGGGTATGTTCAGTCTGGACTCCTCCATGTGTCTCTGGCTGTGCAAGGCTCAAAGGTAATCCATGGAGTCTTTGTCCTAATTATTTTTAATTCTGAGGATGTAAGGGAAAAGATACTTACCTTCTTGATGGTTTCCTTCAGACTTTTTCTTTATTCTTCTTCTGTATTCTATATTCTATGACTTTATTTTTCTTCTATGGCTTGTATACCCCTATAAAATCTTTCAGATAATACAGAAATTACAGTGTGGTCACACTGAATTTTTCAAGTGAATGATTATAGTGTATACAGGTAAAACATGTTTGTCATACTTCTTACATAATTAAAAGAAGTCACCCAAAAACGTTCATACATTTACACCTAAGTAACTTATCATTATAGATTTACAGGGTTTAAGCAAGCAAGGTATTTTTCTTAGCCAGTTCTATTGCTGACAGACTGCATATTGTGGTTACAAAGAAAGGATCAATTATTTTATTATTTATCTCAAAAGATAATCTTATCAACAATCTTATAAAAATTCCAAATCTATACTTAAATATATGAAAAAGAAACAGGCATCTCTATTTTAAACACTCAGGGTGCATACCCACTCATCAACAGTTTTCTTTTATATTAGAAAAATAAGGGAGAAATGGGCACAAGGAATTAATCATTGCCTTTGGTCACAAACCCATCCTGGTAAGAAAGGTACAACAGCTAATAATAATTGGGTTATTATTTCCTGATCTTAAAGAGTTACTCAAACAACTCATTGCCTTTCTAAATTTTTAGATTGTCTTCTTGAGGTTTTCACCTCCAAATTACTTAACAAAAACATCTCAATCTTAAGTCATTTTCAAAGCTTTGTTTCTGCTGTGATGTACTCCTGTGAACACATCTCCCGACACTGAAATTAAAACAATTTAAGCTAGCAGGGCTACTGGGCTCAATTGTTGTTCTTAATCATTATTAACCTAAGCCACAGTCTATACGGCTCCTCAGTAGAAACTCTTGTGTTCTAGTTGTGTGAGGTGTGACACTTGCTTGTTTTTTTTTTCCCTTTATAGCCTCTGTTTTATCAGAGGCAGGGGCAACATTTTATCTTACCTTTACCTATGTTAGTTTTTCCACTAAACTAACCTCTGTCATCATCCCTGACTGTATTTATTAAAAGCCCTCAAGCATCAAAATCCTATTTAAACACTCTTATTATATAAAATCATTTCTTCAGTTAAATAGTACAGCTTAGGAGGACATCGTCTTCATAATAATCCACAAGTAAAAATGCCAAGTAGAATGTGACATTTCCAGGAGACGATAATGCTGCATTAAGGGTAGTGGGGATCTCCCTAAGCCCATTCATACCATGCCAGATACCAGAGGAAGATGGTACACCAGAAGCAAAAAACACTCTGGGTCTGCGGTCTTGGGACCTTGTCTATCTGAGCTTTAACCATCAGGGTTTTGTTTCCTGGTGGGCCAGCACCATAAAGTCAATTGCCATCTGTTGCTCCTCTGACATGGACACCTGCCCTTCATGTTCTGTGCTGCAAATTATTACTCTCCTTGGCTAAGTTTGCTTAGGAAGATGTTGGATGCCATCTAATTTTTGCCTTCTTCTCTCAGGTCCAAAGGACACTCTAGTTTTCCAAACTCCCAAAGACATTCCAAATATTCAGAAATGAGCTTAACCTGGACTTTAGTAGGATTTCTGGTAGCTAGGTAAAAGTCAGCATACCTCAGGAACTTGTGAAACCACTTACCATCTGCCAAAACGGAGTCATTTTCCTTACCTGTGACAGAAGGGGATATATGGCTCTTCACTGAAATATACCTTGGCTGCATATTAAAACCCATCCTAGCATCCAGACTTCCTCAGTATCACGAGCACCTATTATACATCTTAAAGTCTCCACCTAGGATAATGACTTCTCACCTCCCAAGGCTTCCCTCATTCCAGATATCCATTTGTTCTCATTGTAAAGGCAAGGATTTCTGCCTGCCATTGCTAGACTCACAATTCTTTCTTTTTATTCTGTTCTCCATTTCCTGGATATTCTCTTTATCACAGATAACCCTGGCTTTATCCAATATCCGGTATTCTTGCCGTGTTCAGTCTACTTTCTGTCTTTGTTCCAGACTCTTCCAGATGCCTCTCTATCCTCCTTCACTTATCTGAAGTAGACCCTTTCCCTTATCCATACTGTGGAATGATCATGTCAGCAAATTATTTACTGCACCCTCTTTGTGTTAATATCCTTGTGTTAATATCTTTGTGTTAATATCTCTTTCTAATAATACCCCTTTCCGCTGTCTAGTTTAGACCCTGTGCATTTTGCTCCTCTATGCTATTGTAATGTATAGGGTATTAGGAGTGGCCTTCATGCTTTCCCCTGATATTTTTGGCAACATTTTATTTATTTTTATGTATATGAGTGTTTGCCTGAATATGTGTGCATATGTGTCATATTTGTACAGTGCCCAACGAGGACAGAAGATAGCATCAGACAGCACCTTCCCACACACCTGTGACTACAGTTATAGATGGCTTTGAGCCATCATGTAGATACTGGGGATTAAACCTGGGTCCTCTGGAAAACCAGTAGGTGCTCTTTACTGCTGAGCTATCTCTCTGGCTCCATCCTTATTTTGATTTTTAAAATATGTCATCATGGTTGGAGAGATACCTTAGAAATCTGTTTTCGTAGAGGATACCAGAGCACAGACGGGAACACCGTCATCAGATGGGCCGCCTGTAACTCAGCTCTAAGGGGTTCTGACACTCTCTTAGGGATGCATGGGCATCAGAACATATAACTATTCATATACAGACACATAAATGTGCACAAAGAAATTTTTCTATTTCATTTAAACGTAATATGCAATGAAATTACCTTAAGAGCCCCGAGACAAAGTGAAAATGAGGAAGAAAGAACACACCAGCAGCATGCCTTCATGTCTCATTCAAACCCTATCAGTGGGTCTGTCAAAGAGAAGGAAAAAAGGCATGCTGTGAATTTTAAATGTGTAAAGAAATTAGAAGTTAGTGTAGTGGCTGATTCGAGGAGATTAAATTATTCGTACAAATAATTTCTCTTATAAACATTAACCTGATGCTATCACAGTACAGCAGTAGGGGAATTCTTAATATGTCAGAAAAATTAGATTATAATACAACTTTTAAATTCCATGGTCTTTCTTTGAAAGTACACACACTTTGGTAATAAGGCCCTTGGTTCATCACTACATGTACATTAGAATGTAGACTTTGAGGGCAGGCCTCACATCTGGAGCAGCACACACCGTATGACAGCTGGTAGAAATTGCTGCTAATGAATATACACTTGGTATTGATTACACAATTCTTCTCCAAATAATAGCTTTCTTGCTTAGAAACTTGCTACACAAGTCTCATGTTGCTCTTTTAGTAAAATGTGCTAAAACTAATTCATGTACTGATGACATTAATTATGGCTTTAATTATAATCACTATTCATAAAATACAGTCTAAGTGTACAATATAGTACAAAACAAAGGCAACTGTTAGGATCACAGTTTTCAAAGAACTTTTCAACACTCAAGGAATTGATAAATATATAACAAAATTCTTGCACACAGTATCATGAGTGTATGTAATATATATCTGTATTTCTTTAGGCTGAGATTATAATTTTCCCTCTTTAAGAAAGAGTTCTTTTAAAGGAATGTTTATAATAGATTGAAATGATCTAAAAAAAAGTTATAGGGAACAAGTTTGGAGTTATGCTATTACCAGAATATATTTTAAATCTGTGATGGGACAGGGAAGTTTAGAATGATTAACACTATCCTCTAAAGCAATATTAGATTTTTTAAATTTATTCTTCTTTATCATGACCATTAAGTTTTTATTATTTTTTCTTTCTTTCTTTTTTCTTTTTTCCTAATAATTTTTTATTATTTTATAAATAATTCTATTCAAAATTTCCTCTTCCTCCCCTCCTTCTACTTCCCTACTGCTTCCCTACTCACCCTTCCCACCTCTTCCTCCAGTCCTAAGAGAGGGCAGAGTACCTTGCCCTGTGGGAAGTCCAAGTCCCTCCCCCTTCATCCAGGCTTAGGAAGGTATGCATCCGAATAGAATAGGATCCCAATAAACCAGTACATGCAGTAGAGAAATATCCCGGTGCCATTATCATTGGCTTCTCAGTCGGCCTCAATAGTGAGCCACATTCAGAGGGTCCAGTTTGATCCCATGTTTGTTCAGTTCCAGTACAGCTGGAGTTGGTGAGCTCCCATTAGCTCAGGCACACTGTCTAAGTGGTCGAATCAACCCCTCGTGGCCCTGACTTCCTTGCTCATATTTTCCCTCCTTCTGCTCTTCAGCTGGACCTTGGAAGCTCAGTTCAGTGCTCCAATGTGGTCTTCACAAATCCCACATCAGACATAGGTCTGATCTCCAAAATATATAAAGTACTCAAGAAACTAGACGTTAAAATTCTAAATAACCCAATTAAAACATGGGGTACTGAATTGAACAGAGAATTCTCAACAGAAGAATTTCAAATGACGAAAAGACACTTAAGGACATGTTTAACTTCCTTAGCTATCAGGGAAATGTAAATCAAAACAACTTTGAGATAATTTGTTCTTTCAAAATAAAACTTCATAGGTTTATCATTGATTATTTCATTTTTACAGTTTAAATATTACAAAATGTGATTGAAATTATTGAATATACAACTTTGGAGGAGGATCTTCTTAACATGACTTGTCTATTTTCTGTTATAGATACACTTACATAAAAACTAGAAATAATTTAAAACCTCCCATATGAAAATAAACAAAAGAGAAAATGTGTTCAGCTTGACAAAGTTACTGCCCTAATAGTTTCCCAGATAGACCACTGCTATCTTTGGTAAAGGGAAAACATGTTGTAAAACAGTACTTGTTTTCAAAATAAGGTCTTCATGTGTACTTATACATGTATTTACATGTATATGTAAGGATAGAAGTCACATTGATCATTTCTGAAAACTTTGACATTCCTAACTTTGTTTGCACTATAACAGTAGGCCAATATAAAAAACACCTTTGCTTTTGTAAGTCATTGAACAAACCTTAAAACTTAAGCACCACAAGAAAAAAATTAACAAATTCATGATGTTTAAATGTAGCATCATGACACCCTATTTCTATTTTCCCAAATAGTGACACCTTACTATCAACTTCCCATTCTCATAATGACTCCTTATTGGTACCCTCTATTGAAAGCTCTATCATCTCCCTTTCCAGTCTCCAGTTGAGCTGAGGTTCTTATTTCATTCGTAGTTATGATTAGTTTATGATTAGTTTTCCCTAATTCAGTAATAGATGTATCCCCTGTTTTATTTTTTTTCTGTGACTCTTATCCAACACTTTCTGCAAGTACACTCTTCTAATTCTAGGAACATGTCTCAACAACCCTATTTTTTCTCTACATCCTCATTGTGTTCACTCTCTTGTTACCAAATTATTTACGTCAGAACAAAGATGAAGTTTTTAAAATAAAAACCCTAATACCACTAAAACTTGTTAGAATAAACAAACTCAGTAATGTTACAGGATGTAAAACCTACATATGAAACCCTGTATATAGCAATAGCGTTGCTCAAAACAAAACAAATAAAAACCAACCAGAGAATAAAACAATGCATTCCAGAAAGTATCTACAGAAAATAAAATGTTTAGAAATCAATATAAATCAGGAAGTGAAAGACCTCTTCAATGAAAATTAAAATACACTAGTAAAAATTAGTGAAGGCCCATACACAAATGGGAAGACAGTCCATGTTCATGAATTGAAACAATCACTATTATAAAATGTCCATATTACACAAAATAATAATTAAATTGAATATATTCCCATCAAAATTCCAAAGTCTCTTCCTACACACAGAAAAGAATGTCACCAAATTCAATTCTGAACCACAGACTATCTCAAATAACCCAAGCAACACTGAGCATTACAATAACTCATGTCAAAATATGTTACAACACCATACAATTTCAGTCTGCATGATAACAGACACAGGCACCTCAAATAGTTAACAAGGAAAAATAGCATACCCTTTGACTCAGCAATCTACTAATTAAGGAGCTGATGTTACAACAGCTGAGCAATAACACATCTGTACCTACATGTTCATTGCAACTATTCCTGTAGTCATGACATCTATAATACATCCCTTTGTCTCTAAAATTAGAGGAAGCAACTAAGGTATGCTCCAAGTTATATAGCTCTAATTTCTGACAGAGGATAACAAAACAGGGCTGACTTACCTAACCATTTCATGTAAATGAATCCAAGTAATTCTACCAGAGTTACTATGATCAAACCTGAGACTAAAAGATAGCCATATTTTGGTGCACACTCTGTAAAAACAAAGAAATAATTTAGTATAAATGCATACAAACTGCTTAAAGGAATACATAATATCAAATTTTAAGGATAGTAATTATTGTTAGAGATAAAAATTAAGTATATGTGCTGAGTATCATTAAGTCAGTCAATAAAATGATTCTGAATTGTTTTAAGGAAAATACCACTTATGTTTTCATAACATACATGTCAGAACTAATGGAAAATACTGTCCCCAAACAGTTTGAGTCTGGCTGCTTGTAAAGATCTGTTAAATGAGCCATGATAATTTGGATAGCTGGAAAAGAGCCATGAAGTACATGTAGACAATATTCTTCTACTGGCATTGAAAGCATAATCCCTAGTGGAAGGAATACCATAGTAAAAGAAAAAATATGTTAACTAGCAAGTGGTATGCAAAGTTTTTCTGTCTGTGTTGCTTTTATTGGTTGATGAATAAAGAAATTGTCTTGGCCTGTGCAGGGAATAATAGAGGTAGGTGGGGAAAATTAAACTGAATGCTGGGAGAAAGAAGGTGGAGTCAGAAGACATCATGTACCCTTTTCCGGAAACACAGGTGGTGGAACCCTGTCAGTAAGCCACAGCCATGTGGTTGTACACAGAGTAATAGAAATGGGTTAAATTAAGATGTAAGAGCTAGCCAATAAGAAGCTAGAGCTATGGGACTGGAGAGATGGCTCAGTGGTTAAGAGCATTGCCTGCTCTTCGAAAGGTCCTGAGTTCCATTCCCAGCAGCCACATGGTAGCTCATAACCATCTGTAATGAGGTCTGGTGCCCTCTTCTGGCCTGCAGACAGAATGTTGTATACATAATGAATAAATAATAAAAGAAGAAGATTGAGCTAATAAGCCAAGAAGTGATTAAATTAATACAGTTTCTGAGTGGTTATTTCAGGAGTCTGGGCATCAGGGAACAAATAAGCAGCCTCCCTACAACAGATTGGTTTTCTAACATTGTTGACTATATCCATCTAAAACCTGACAAAGCTTTAAAAGGAATTCTAGACACAAATGTACAGAGTTAAGCAAGACTTAATGCCATGACTTTTTAAAGCAAGGCCCTCCTGATTGAGCAGCAGCAAAATAAATAAATAAATAAATAAATAAAATAAAAATAAACAACCCTCCCTCAAACCACATGGTTTCAAAATGGTGACTTCCTGGTTCACAAGCACAAATGGCTCTAAATTTTTGGGAGGCCTGGCCAAAAAGCATTTAAATACAGTCTGTGAGCAGAGTGCTACAACATACTTAATGGCAACATAGACCCTCTGTGTGCCTAAAAATGGGGCAATGTATATTGCTTTCAGAGGTAGTAAACATGGCTCAGCCATGTTGGACTGGGCAGAGCAAGCATGTAGGACTGTGGTGGCCCTCTTCATGCCTGCTTAGGATATCACAAAAAGACACTTCTTGTCAGAAAGTAATTAAAGATACACAATAGGACAGATTCAGACATAATAGAACTCTAAACGAGAGTCACAGTATGTTTAAAAAAATGTGTGTAGGCTTGGGAGAAAGAAGAAAAAGAGTAAGAAGGCAGTAAATGTAATATAAAAGAGTACAGATAGTCATAGATTGAAGGAGCAAAGATAAAAAATAAATATTTAACTTAGAGAAAAAGTAATATAATAAAAATAAGTCATATTAGATGGAAATACACAGAGAGTCTGGACTATGTGTATTATTGTATTTTCTTTGAAATTTTTGACTCTGAAGGAGCTTGTACAGAGAGGAATTTCATTGTATGGGCTGCTAAGATAAACCAACATAAAGGTATCTTGACTTCAGAATTTGAGCCTTAGGATATGTTGCTTTGGAGAAGAGGTTCTTCTTTTGTTTCCACAGAAAATCAGAACACGTGGATTAATTCCAGACTAATGTGATTTGATGGGCCATGACGCCATAAAAGGTTACCATGATCACCTCCCCAAAATACTTCACAAAACAAAAAAAGGAAGCAGTTTAGAGAACTATGCCCAAATGCCCAAATATTGTTTGTAAATGTTTATTTATATTCAAAGGGAATATGCTATAGATATTTGCATTGGTATGGCTCTTGATTTATTGATACAAATTTAAGGTCAATTTTGTAATCCTATGTATATGTATTTCTGATCGTGATTAAGGTATTGCATTTGTCCAGCTCATTTAAAAATGTAATGTATAATGAATAACTATAGGTCAATAGATAATCATCTATAATAGTCAAGTTTGTAGTAATGATAGATTTTCTAGATGTACAGAGATGTATTTCAGATGGATAGACATTCCTCATACCTTTCAAAGACTATAGAATATGGCATTTAAAATATTTAAGAACTTAGGACTTTTCATTTCAGTGAGACACATTTGCTTCTGGCAGCACCAATTACTTCCAAAGGAAGATGGGCATCAAGAGGCTCTTTATATAGTTTGCTAGCCATTTGGGCAAAATACTGCTCTTGCCTGGACTGTTTGATGTTATTCTATGTAATCTGGTCATGTGGGACCCATGGAGAAATGACAACTGAACTTGCCTAAAGATGAGATGGTCCTTCAGGGTTCTTGCTTCATGAAAGAGTCTACAAGACATTCTGCAGGACACAGAAGAAAGTGACTGACAAAATGCCAATATAGGTGTAAATGTCTTTGAAATTTCCTGCTCATGAAAAAATCTGCCAGACACTATGGGCCAGTAGGCTGAAGATGGGTGCCTGCAATGTACAGTAGAACTTTGGGTGACTTTCCAGGCATTAATATGTCCCAGTCAATTCTAGAGTTTTGAAAGCTGTTGACAATGCACTTCCTGTAAACTTATGTAATATTATATCCTTCTGGAGTTTTTGATGGAGTTGAAGAATAGATAATTATTACAGTTTCCCACAGTTATGATAAAAGATATAGTAGATATAAACTGTATCTGTAACTGTAATTCTTTCTTGATACCTGTTTTGTTTTATGTAATTTTTCTATGTTAAAGTTAAAACCTACCTTTTTGAACAAGCATAGGACCAAGCTAGTCCTTCTGAATGTAGCTGACATTTGTATGGCTGGGGCAGACTGAGGGGCCACAGGCAGTGGCATTGGGATTTGTCTCTGCTGCATGTACTGGCTTTTTGGATCCTATTCATTGGATTTATGCCTTGCTCAGCCTAATGTACTGGGAAGGGCCTTGGATTTTCCACAGGGCAAGGTGCCTTACCCTCTCTTAGGATTGGAGGGCTAACAGAGGAGGGTGTGTGGAGGGGATGGGATAAGGGGAGTAGGAAATTGAACTGATATATTTTTTAAAAATAAATCTAATAAAAAAAGAAAAGGAAAAAATAAAATCCAAAGATACCTTCCTTTTTATTTAAACAGAAAAGGGGAAATGGTGTGGGAAGTCTTTCTGTCTTTGTGTTGCTTTGATTGCTTAATGAATAAAGAAACAGTCTTATGCCTGCTCAGGGCTGAATAGAGGTAGGCAGGGAAAACTTAATGCTAGGAGAAAGAAAGCAGAGTCAGAAGATACTATGGAGCCACCAGAGGGGAAGGATAAGAGCTGCCATCTGGAACCTTGCCAGTAGGCAATGAACCTCATGGTAAGATATAAAATAATGGAAATGGATTCCTGATAAATGTAAGAGCTAGCTAGCAATACGTTTAAATGATTGGTTAAGCAGTGCTTTAGTTAATACACTTTCTGTGTAATTATTTTGGGGCTGAGAAACTTGGAACAAACAAGTGGCCCCCTAGAACAAGCAAGTGCTAAACATGTGGAGAAATGTCATTGGTGCCAGTGATGCAAAATGCTGCGGTTATTGTGATACAGACAATTACAAAATGAAATATGTCTTTAGTGTACAATCCAGGATTTCCTCAAATGTACTTGATAGTGCACATTCATAGAAAAATATGTATGTCTACAGAAATTCTAATCATTCTCATAACAAATCTAAATGCAAGCAGGATATCCTTCATTAGATGAATGCATTAAAAATACTATTGTGTCCTCACAAACATTTTGCACTCAAAAATAGTGAACTATGAAACCATAAAAAAGGCATGGAGGAAAAAAGACTATATAAAAAAGGTTATATACAATATGTGAATAAATCAAAGACAATCTTAAGAATGAAAAAGTATCACTGTTGCAAGGAATTTGGGGGACAGAGAAATAAACAAGTAGGAACAAGGAATTTAGATCAGTGAAGGTTATTCTATATGACAAACACAGTGAGTAATACATCTCATGTGAGTTGTTCACAAAGGAAGAGGGAACAATAATGTAATCTGTGGGTGACAGCCCTTAAACTGTGATTTATCGATTAGAACAAATGTGTGGTCTGGTTGAGGATAGTAGGGGACGATGTGGCATGAAGTGCATATGGAAGTACATAAAGAGTATATGACACAATCCATGGAAACTCTGCAGTGTCCATTGAACTTTGTTGTAAACCTAAGGCATCTTTAAAAAGACAATTTATTATAAAGAAAAAGAAAATTAAGGTCTCTTCCAAGAGAAATTTAAATCTAGACTCCCGATAAATATTACTCTTACCGTTTACAGTAATAAATGATCCTACCATAATGAGTGCAAAGCCCAATGCCTGAATGACTGTTAACATGATCATGGCATAAAGGGTCCTCCCAATAGCTACAAGAAAGAAAAGGGCAAAGCAAAAGCATTGTGAGACTGATGATAAAGCAGTATGATCTACTTGCATTTGGTACAGTCAACAACAAGGCACTATAAGCAAGGACTGGCTACAGTAAGTTTACATATAGCAAACATATTCCCAGTGAGGTCACTCTTTCCAGAAGTGTTGACTTCAGATCACCACTCAGCAGACTTTCACTGCCATTGTCGTCTGAAGAGGACTAAAAGCTTTAACTCTAAGCCCAACAACAGCTCTGCTTAAACCATATTTGTATATTTTACATTATAAATGACTATTATGCATGGCTTCTTCACACGGACATAAAATTGCTTTGGAGGAACCTTAGTGATTACAAATATAATATTCTCTGCTATGTTTTTCAAGGATCTATGGTTTTAAAATGTAGCTTTTCCATTTTTAAATAACAGCCATCCAAGAGAGACCTTACAATCCATAAAGCTACTTTTAAAACAAGTGTTTAGTTATTTGTGTTGGGGGAAGCAGGCATGTGTGGATGTCAGAGGACAATATCGGCAAATTGCTCCTCTCTTTAGGCAATGAAAGTTCTGGGAATGAAACTTAGATTGCCAGGCTTGGTGGCAAACACTTTTACCTGTGGAGTCATCTTGTTGGCCAGATGTGACTTTTTAATAATAACAACAAAAAGATGTTGGTGGCATACTTTCAAACTATAAAAAATAAATACTGATTATATTTTATATAAAAATCTTAAGATATATTAAGCTTTTTCAACAAAAATAATGAAAACAAAAGCAAATGAGAACAAAACCAAACAAAGTTCCCAAACACACACACACACACACACACACACACACACACATACACAAATAGATCCTGCATTTAGTGTTCTGATCTGTAAACTCATCTTGTTATAACAGTGTTATTAATGAAGAACATGGTGGGGAAAATTGCAGACTTGTAATCCCCTTATAATTTCACTATCCTGAAGTTCAGAATGTGAATGCAAGCTTGAGTTATTGCAGGCCAAACACTCCAAACACAAAGTCCTGAAATCTGATAGTAAAAATTTCCCCATTTTTTAGTTTATTCAATATTGGATCCCCTAAGTAAAGCTGTTCAAGCAGTATATTTTATGCAAATGTCTCATATTTTGAAATACAGAAATTCAAAATACTTCTTGTATCAAGTATATCAAAAGGAAAAGAGAGGTACTTAATCTGTGATGTAGGAGGTCCATCTGTCTCTATATTGCTTTTATTGGTTAATGAATAAAGAACTGCTTTGATTTTATGGCAGAGAAGAACAGAACTAGACAGGGAAAGCTAGGCTGTATGCTGGAGGAAGGAGGCAATTCAGATAGATGCCATGGAACCACGACCAGAGTCAGACATGCCAAAACTTTGCTAGTTAGCCACTGACTCATGGGAATACACAGATTAATGGAGATGGATTAAATTAAGATGTAAGAGTTAGTCAATAAAAAGCTAGAGCTATTGGGTCAAACAGTGATTTAATTAATACAGTTTCTTTGTAATTATTTCAGGTGTAAGCTGGTCAGTGACCGGAAATGTACAAGTTTCCCCTTCTCCAACAAAGCTGCATGTTTAACCCCTCCTTTTTTTTACAAAAATAAAAGCGCCTTTAAGATCAAAGATGTTAGAATTCATCCTTATGAGATGTCATTAGTAATAGTATTGGTGTAACATGGAGGGACCGGCTTGCTGGTGTATCTGTCCCACCCAACACCCCACAGCCGGCATACCCCAAAGAAAATCAATCACACAGAGATCTCTATAAGTTATAAAGCTGATTGGCCCATTAGGTCAGGCTACATATTAGTTCTTATGACATATGTTACCCCTTTATCCTTATCTACGCTAGCCATATGGCTTGGTACCTTTTTCAGTTGTCAGCTCACATGTTGCTTCTCTGTGGTCTGGGCAGGAATGGCAGAGGGAGCTTTCTCCTCCCTAGCCTTCTCCTATTCTCATTACCCCACCTCTACTTCCTCTCTGGTTTTCCTACCTATACTTCCTGCCTGGCCAATCAGCATTTTATTAAAATACATGATTGACAGAATACAAACAATTCCCCTGCAAGGACAGAATACAAACAATTCCCTGCAAGGACAAGACCAGATTGTCCTTGAACTCACAGAGATCCCTCTGTCTCTGCCTCCACAGTGTCGGACTCAAAGGTGTTAATTACCACACCTTGAACTCACAGAGACCTGTCTGTCTCTGCCTCCCAGGCATTGGGATTAAAGGTGTGTGCTACTACACCTTAAAGTCACAGAGGTCAATCTACCTCTGCCCCTTGAAGTCACAGAGGTCAGCCTACCTCTACCTCCCAGGCATTGGGATTAAAGGTGTGTACTACCACACCCAACTACTCTCTTTCTTTCTTTTTACTTTAAGAACTTTAACTTTTATCCTGCATATATTTTTAACACACTGTAAACCACTTAGAGGTTTTCTTCCTATTTGAATCTCTCTTTACTGTAATCTCTCTTTTTCTGATCACATGAGCCTTTAATTTACTAAGCAATATGGACAGCCATGGCTCTGCCAGCTAGATCCAGCCCATTCCTTAGCTTTCCAGTCGTGTGGCAGAGGTACGGGTTGTAGCCACTTTTACTGCCACAACTCTATGGCATTTCACGGATTAATATAAATTACAAGGACTAATAAGAAGCCTGACCTAATGGGCCAATCAGATTATAATCTTATGGGGTCCTGTGTGTAATTTTCTTTGGGGCTTGCTGGTTGTGGGGTACCGGGCAGAACAGAAAACTCAAAAAGCCGGCCCTCATGTTACAGATGGTACCCAACGTGGATAACTGAATCCACAGAAAGCCTGAGAAAGTTTGGGAAAGAATAAAGAATGTTTTGTTGGTGGCAGCAATTTCTCAGGTCGGCTCTGCTTGCTAGAGGCAAGCAAATGCTCTCATCCAAGAGAGGCTTCCTGACTCAGCTTTAGCTGCAAAACTTTTCAGCTCCTTTCAGAGGTCCTGCCACTACACACTTAAATGGTGTTGATTAAAAGCTGAACACATGCTTTTCTGTTTTCAGCCATAGCAGGAAAAAAGCCACACTGTTTTAAAATGCTGGCTTTCTGGGCTGTCCTGCCAGGGCAAACTCTGACTCTTTCAGGCAGGAAGTCTGACTGAGTGTGGTATGTGAACAGAATGTTGCAGTTTTCTTGCTAGCAGGGACCTTGAAACACTGTAGAGTTGTGATGACAAAAATGGCTCTGATGGTTCCTCCACCATGAGGTTGGAGAGCTAAGGAATGGGCTGGTTCTAGCCATCAAAACCACGGCTTTATTCCTGCCGATATTACTTAGTAAATTAAATGCTCATGTGGTCAAAAAAAGAGAGATATACAGTAAAGAGAGATTCAAAGAGGAAGAAAACCTCTACATGGTTTACAGTGTGTTAAAAATATATGCAGGATAAAAGTCAAAGTTTTTAAAGTAAAAAAAAGAAAGAGAGTAGTTGGATGTGTTGGTGTACACCTTTAATCCCAACAGTTGGGAGGCAGAGGTAAATTGACCTCTGAGACTTCAAGGGGCAGAGGTAGATTGACCTCTGTGACTTTAAGGTGTGGTAGTACACGTCTTTAATCCCAATGCCTGGGAGGCAGAGACAGACAGGTCTCTGTGAGTTCAAGGTGTGGTAGCACACACCTTTAATCCCAGAGCTGGGGAGGCTGAGACAGTGGGATCTCTTTGAGTTCAAGGACAGCCTGGTCTACAGAGTTATTTGAGGACAAAGACATACAGAGAACCTGTCTCAAAAAGTAAAAGCAAAAATAAAAGAAATAGAGGTTAAGATAAAGCCGCATAAAGATGGAAAATACACAGAGAATCTTGATACTGTATACTATTATGCTCTCTTTAAATTGTTTGAATGCTGAGGAAGGAGCAACAGCTGCTAAAAGACTTTTATTTATAAATGCTGCTGAACTAACCCAAAATAGGTATTTTGAAAATACCTTGGCTTCAAAACTGAAGTCAATAGGTGTGTTACTTTGGAGAAGAGATTTTGCTTTTGTTTCCACAGAAAATGAGAATCTGTGGATTCATTCTGAGCTAAGAAAAGTCAATTTGATCAAGGAAGACCACCCGAGAAATCCCTGGTAAAAACAGATGGCCCAGATGTCTGAGTTCTACATCCAGAACTGATTCAAGACTCCTGACGGAGATGATCGAGACTCACAGGATGAGTACCAGGACTTGATTATAACTCTAAATTTTCTTTAGGTCCCCATAAGGTTATCAGCAACACCAACCAGCAGGAAGTAGCCTGAAATACTACACCCACATTCCCACCAAATGGACTATGGGTATTTTCCTTTTTTAAAAAAAAAAAATAGGAGGAAATGGTGCGGGAGAATTGTCTGTATTCTGTCAGTCATGTTTTAAATAAACGCTGATTGGCCAGGCAGGAAGCATAGGTGGGTCAACCAGACAGGAAGTATAGGCGGGGTGATGAGAACAGGAATATTCTGGGAAGCAGGAAGCTTGCTCTGCTATTCCTGCCCAGATCACCGAAGAAGCAACATGTGAGCTGACAGCTCAATACAGTACCAAGCCATATGGCTAACATAGATCAGAATAATGGGTTAAGATAAGTCATAAGAACTAATAAGTAGCCTGACGTAATGGGTCAATCAGCTTTATAACTTATAGAGATCTCTGTGTGATTGATTTTCTCTTGGACTTGCCAGTTTGGAGTACCGGGTGGGAACAGAAACCCCAATAAGCCGGCTCTCATGTTACATATTGGAAATTTTTTTCCAAGACTGGATTTCTTTGTAGCTTTGGAGCCTATCCTGGAACTAGCTCTGTAGACGAGGCTGGCCTCATACTCACAGAAACCTGCCTGCCTCTGCCTCCCAATTGCTGGGATTAAAGGAATGTATATCACTGCCAGGCTGGAAATATTTTAAATAGACCAAATTTCATGAAAATCAGTATTAAAATGAATGGAAAACATCCACTCTTCTGGAAAGTTTTCATTGTGACAGAAGGTACTATATGGGTGTCTAAGGTATGAATGTCATCTATGATTTTTATCAAGTTAGACCCTCATGCTACAGTTTCAACCTTCCATGGCAACATGTACCTACTGGGGCAACAGTGGCACAACTTTTATTAGGTAACCACTTTCTGATAGGATTTGAGATTTGTTCAGCAGGAGTATAATCCTGGTCAAAAGCTGCCTTGGGGTTCATAGACCTTAGGGTAGAAACTGTTACTGCTATTTTTACTAAATAATCATATTGCCAAGTTGCCTTCTACAATTTACTTTTATACCCAGTAGATCTGGGTTGCTTGCTACCTTTGTTCGGAAGCTTCTTTCTGCCTTGAGAAACAGTCAGGTGAGAATAAAAACTAAATACTTTAGACCTAAATTGAGTGTTTTTATCCCCTATCATCACCACCAAATAGGGTCATAGAAAATTTTGGAAGAGTTGGAAACAGAGTTGGAACTTGGTGATAGGAAGGGCCGCCATGAATTGCTGTCTACTGGACATGATATGGCTATTGCTTTCATGAACACACAGCTGCTCTGGTTATCTATGCAAGACCAGCAGATCAAGCCTGTCAAGATTTTGGCATAGATGGTGGTGTTCTCCAGGTTCCACTCCTTACTAAGGAGTACGCTGGCCACTGATTACTGCTTGGGGAAGGGGGAACCATTCTCTTTTGAGGATGTGGGCAATGTGAGGTTTCCCACACTTCAGTAGATGGCCTCACATTTATGAATATATGGTTAACACTAACTGGATTTAGTGTTCGAGTTTATTTTAAAAAATAAAGAGACATAAAGTTGAGAAGGGGACATGCTGGTGGCATATTGGAGCAGTGAGAAGAGTAATTGGGATGGTTATAATCATACTTCATTGTATCTTTGGGTGAAATTCTTAAAATAAGGAAGGTAATTTTTAAAACAAGATAGAAGGTTTTTTTCCAAAGTGCTGTCTTTTAAATGAAAAGATAGTTAAAATCATGTTAAAATATCAAATGCTTACCTGGCATAAACTTACGGTACTGTAGAAATACAGGTATCACTGAAGGAGTAACCAATAAAATAAGTCCATAGCTTTTCTTTTTTGAATAATTACCTGTTAACAAACAAAAATTGATTTTGTATGTGTTTCTCCTGTTTGGACAATTAATGTACTGAATTTATTAAGTCCATTACCCTGAATTCTGCAGTCATAAAGTATGAAATGCTTAACATATTTTCTTCTAAATTTACAGTGAATCAGCATTTTTCAATTACTTGAGACTCAACAGAATAATACAAATTTTAATGCTAGAGTCTCATCACATGAATGCTTTTATATGGTTTTAACTCTTTAGCTGACTTAAATCTTCCAGATGATTAACTTGAACCTCGCTGTCCACCATCCATTCATTCTCAGTGTTCAGATTGACAGCCAAGCCAAATCACCTGCTCTTTCACACCATCTTCTGAGTTCATCAGCTCCTCAGACCCTTACCAGCCTTGGATGCAAACCCAGCTGCCAAGTCTGTGTTCTAAAGATCTGCTTGTGCCTCAGTCTCCCTAAAAGAAGGCAGTGGTGTTATGTGGTCTGCCTTTTAGTCCTAGCCTTTCATCCCCAGAATATGCCCTCTGCTGTTATCTACTATTCACACGCCCATCTCTCAGCTCAATGACCACTGCAGAGAGACATGACTCCCATGGGCATGCCCATTTCCACATCTCAGCCAGTGAAGCCTGCCTGCCTCCATAGTGGCTTGAATGGTGGTTATATCCACATTTTCAACTTCCTGTCACCAAAACTATGACAAGAGGTAGAAGGAGGAATCTTAAACAGAGTTAAACAATTGTCTTCAGTTTCAATGGCACTGTCCTTGTGAGGGAGGAAGAGACCACAAACTGAACACAAAGAACCTGGTGAGGCAGATGATGGAAAAATAGAGAAGGGAGCTACTCTGCCACAAGGTAAGCTGAGCATCGCCTGCAAACACTGGAAGTTACAAGAGGCAGGAAGTGGAACACACCCCACACTCCCACCATGAGGCAGCATGATGTTGATCACAGAGCAATTATAGGCATAAGTGGTCCAGATCCAGAGAATTCTTCTATTCTTTGGGGCCATATCATTTGCCACAATCTGTCCTAACAGCTCTCAGGATCAATTTGCTTCCCTTTAAAATGTTTCTCACATCAGCTGCACACACAACAGCCCAGTACCTGTGCATCTTACCTGGAATAAAAAGAAAGGCTCCAACAATGACAACCATGGTGAACAATAATCCAGAAGTAGATAAAATCATCATTTTCTTGTTAACAAGGTTGGATTTATATTTTTGCACTTAAAAAAAGACAGAAATAATTTCATGAACTTAAACAAAAATGAAGGCATTTGTGCAATAAATAAGGTGCAAAGACAAACTGATGACACAGTGAAATTTATCAAATTACTCACATCTTTCATAAGGAATTGATAGACAGGCTCATGGCAATACATATATATATATAGCAGGTGCATGTGAAGATGTAAGTAGGCTCATATGTATTATAGAGGAAGTTGCAACAGTATTCTAAACTGAAAGCATTTTTCAGTTTCTATATTAATATTTTTTCTGGGGGAGTGAATCTATGCATGATTACATTAGTACTTTGATCAGAATCCCTTTATTTTACACAGTAATATTCCCCAGTTATAGGCCAAGTGTCTTTCAATATTGTTAGTGTTTCTCAACAAGCAAAGTTATTCCAGACTGACCACACAGTAATCTGGTCTAGTGATTTACACAAGACTCACGGGCAGTTGCTAGTTACTTAACAATATAAGAATAGAGAAACAAGTTCCCATCTAATATAAAATTAGTAAAGCACCTAGAAATTTTGGATGTTTGTTTTGAGAAAGACTACTGAGCAAATCATATCCTGGTGAAATTCTAAGAGAGGAAAATGAACTTACAACTATGATATTGAAATAAAAGCACACTGCCAGGGTTCAAGCAATTCATCATAGTAATGACTGCTTCTGATAGACACCCAGGTCGCCCTGCAGTGCTGGTTACCCTCTCCCGCCTGCCATCCCAGCTCCCATCCAGGTACGAATTCCTATATTTCTCCCTTCCCCCTGGGGCCATAAAATTTCCCCAGCTCAGCTGCCTTGCAAGCTGGGCCTGGATGTAGGCACATCCCGGCTGGAGGCAGTTGCTGGGTCTTAAAGGCCTCCCTGAGGACAGGTGGACCAGAGGCCAGCTCAGCCACATTCCTGACCAGCAGGGGCCCTGACTTCTAGCAGAGGGCCATCGGAGGGGTGAGTTTCCTTCGGGTCGGGGCAGGGTCCCGGTGAGGAGGAGCTTGGGCATTCCCAGAACCCATAGACGCCCAGGTCGCCCTGCAGTGCTGGCTCCCCCCTCCCACCTGCCTTCCCAGCTCCCATCCTGGTACGAATTCCTATATTTCTCCCTTCCCACTGGGGCCATAAAATTTCCCCAGCTCAGCTGCCTTGCGAGCTGGGCCTGCATTGTAAGCACATCCCGGAAAGAGGGAGTGCCTGGGCTTCAATAGCCTGCCTGAGGAAAGGTGGGCATTCTGTCAGTGAAGTCCCTGCCCAAGAAGGGAACCTGACCCGGTACCAGAAGTTCCAATGGAGAACATTTGAAGTAAGAGATGGGTAGATGCCAAGGCAGGACCTCATCCAACAATCTGAAAAACAACATGAAAACACCAGATCTCACGGACCCTACAATAGAAGGACTTGAACACCTTAACCCAGAAGAAGTGGAAAAAAGTGCCATTATGAAAGCAATAGAGTCCCTTAAACAGGATATGAATAACTCCCTTAAAGAATTGGATGAGAAATATAACAAAAAGTTTGAAGAAATGAGTATAGAAATAGATGAGAAATATAACAAAAAGTTTAAAGAAATAAGTAAATCCATGAATGAGACCCCGAGAAAACCAAGAAAAAACCATCAAACAAGTAAAGGAAACAGTCCAAGAGTTGAAAACTGAAATGGAGGCAAATGAAGAAAACACAAACCGAGAACCGGCTGGATATGGAAAACCTAGGTAAACGAACGGAGACTACAGAATCAAGCATAACCAATAGAATACAAGAGATAGAAGAACGAATCTCAGAATCTGAAGATACCATAGAGAAAATAAATGCTCTGGTCAAAGAAAACGGCAAATCCAACAAATTCTCTTCACAAAACATTCAGGAAATCTGGGACACAATAAAAAAACCAAATCTAAGAATAATAGGGATTGAAGAAGGAGAAGAACTGCAGATCAAAGGCCCAGAAAATATATTCAACAAAATTATAAAAAACTTTCCCAACCTAAAGAACGATATTCCTATGAAGGTTCAAGAAGCATACAGAACACCGAATAGATTGGATCAGAAAAAAAATCCCCTAGCCATATAATAATCAAAACACAAAACATACATATTAAAGAAAAAATTTTAAGAGCTGCAAAGGAAAAAGGTCAAGTAACTTATAAAGGTAAACCTATCAGGCTTACACCGGATTTCTCTATGGAAACCATGAAAGCCAGAAGATCCTGGATAGAGGTACTGCAGAAACTAAGAGACCATGGATGCAAACCCAGACTACTATACCCAGCCAAGCTATTGTTCACTATCAACGGAGAAAACAAAATATTCCAGGATAAAAACAAATTTAAACAATACGTAGCTACTAATCCAGCCTTACAGAGAATATTAGAAGGAAAATCACTACCGAAGGAATCCAACATTCCCAACACGGCCTACAATAACTCAGACATGTAGCGACCCTTCACAAGCACAAATCAAAGAAGAAAAACACATACACTCTACTACCTAAAAAAAAAAAATGACCCCAGTCAACAACCACTGGTCATTAATATCACTTAATATCAATGGACTCAATTCACCTATAAAGAGGCACAGACTTAGAGATTGGATACGAAAACAGGATCCAACATTCTGCTGTTTACAAGAAACACACCTCAAACACAAAGACAGACACCTACTCAGAGTAAAGGGTTGGGAAAAGGTTTTCCAAGCAAATGGACCTAAGAAACAAGCGGGTGTGGCCATTCTAATATCTAACAAAATCGACTTCAAACTAAAATCAATCAGAAGAGATGGAGATGGACATTTCATACTCATAACAGGAACAATTCATCAGGAATAAGTCTCAATCCTGAATATCTATGCCCCTATTATAGAGGTACCCACATATGTAAAAGAAACTCTTCTAGAAATCAAGGCAGTCATCAAACCACACACATTAATAGTAGGAGACTTCAACACTCCTCTCTCACCAATGGACAGGTCAATCAGACAGAAACCAAACAGAGAAATAGAGATTTATTGGAGGTATTGAATCAAATGCACTTAACAGACATCTATAGAACACTCCACCCAAATAGGAAAGAATATACCTTCTTCTCTGCAGCTCATGGAACCTTCTCGAAGATTGACCACATACTTGGTAACAAAGCAAACTTCCACAGATACAAAAAAATATTAGTAACTACCTGTGTCTTGTCAGATCACCATGGACTAAAATTAGAATTCAACAACAATGCTTCCCCCAGGAAGCCAACAAACTCATGGAAGCTGAACAGTCAACTACTAAATCACCCCTGGGTCAAGGAAGAAATAAAGAAAGAAATTAAACTCTTCCTTGAATTTAATGAAAACAAAGACACAACATACTCAAACCTATGGGACACTATGAAAGCAGTGCTAAGAGGAAAGTTCATAGCACTAAGTGCCCAATTAAAGAAAATGGAGAAAGCACACATTGGAGACTTAACAGCACACTTGAAAGATCTAGAAAAAAAAGAAGCTGATTCACCCAGGAGGTCTAGAAGACTGGAAATAATCAAACTGAGGGCTGAAATCAACAAAATAGAAAGAGAGAAAACAATCCAAAGAATCAATGAATCAAAAAGCTGGTTCTTGGAGAAAATCACCAAGATTGACAAACCCCTATCCAAATTAATCAAACGGCAGAGAGAGAACATGCAAATTAATAAGATCAGAAATGAAAAGGGGGACATAACCACAGACACAGAGGAAATTCAGAGAATCATTAGATCTTACTATGAAAGTTTATATGCCACAAAGTTGGAAAATGTAAAAGAAATGGACATTTTTTTAGATAAGTACCATATACCAAAGTTGAACCAAGAACAGGTGAACAATCTAAATAGACCTGTTAGTCACGAAGAATTAGAAGCTGTTATCAAAAATCTTCCTACCAAAAAAAGCCCAGGACCAGATGGTTTCAATGCAGAATTCTACCAGAACTTCCAGGAAGAGCTAATACCTATACTCCTTAACGTATTCCACAATATAGAAACAGAAGAGTCATTGCCTAATTCCTCTTATGAAGCTACAGTTACCCTAATACCAACACCACACAAAGACACAACCAAGAAAGAGAATTACAGGCCAATCTCACTCATGAACATCGACGCGAAAATTCTCAATAAAATACTGGCAAACCGAATCCAAGAACACATTAGAAAAATTATCCATTATGATCAAGTCGGCTTAATTCCAGAGATGCAGGGCTGGTTCAACATATGCAAATCTATCAATGTAATCTATCATATAAATAAACTGAAAGAAAAAAACCATATGATCATCTCACTAGATGCTGAGAAAGCATTTGACAAAATTCAACACCCATTTATGATAAAGGTGTTGGAGAGACTGGGGATACAAGGATCATACCTAAATATAATAAAAGCAATATACAGCAAACCGACAGCTAACATCAAACTGAATGGAGAGAAACTCAAAGCCTTTCCACTAAAATCAGGAATGCGACAAGGCTGTCCACTCTCTCCTTACCTCTTCAATATAGTTCTTGAAGTTCTAGCAATAGCAATAAGACAACATAAGGAGATCAAGGGGAATTGTATTGGAAAGGATGAAGTTAACCTTTCGTTATTTGCTGACGATATGATAGTTTACATAAGTGACCCCAAAAACTCAACCAAAGAACTCCTACAGCTGATAAACACCTTTAGTAACGTGGCAGGATACAAGATCAACTCCAAAAAATCAGTGGCCCTCCTATACACAAAGGATAAAGAAGGAGAGAGGGAAATCAGAGAAACATCACCTTTCATGATAGCCACAAATAGCATAAAATATCTTGGGGTTACTCTAACCGAGGAAGTGAAAGACCTATTTGACAAAAACTTTAAGTCTTTGAAGAAAGAAATTGAGGAGGATACCAGAAAATGGAAAGACCTCCCCTGCTCTTGGATTGGGAGAATCAACATAGTAAAAATGGCAATTCTACCAAAAGCAATCTATAGATTCAATGCAATCCCCATCAAAAT